TGGAACGACTCAAACTTATCTCTTTTACAACATATTTCACTTGTTAATATTTTTTGTTTGAAACCTATAAATCATTATATTTTATGCTTATTGTTGATTATTTAGTCAATTCTCAAACGAATTCGTTCACCATCGATCGCGGGTTTCAACAGGTAATGTACATTTCATTGTGTTGTATATTTCTCCGCCTCAGATATGAGGCCTTTTGTAAAGGGAGCGTTTCCCAATATTTAAATCAAATAAATAACATTAACACATTAAACAACAATTGAAAATGCTTTTTCTAGATTGCAGTATAAAGACAATAATAGTGCATTGACCTGACATATCAATGATATAAGGATTCGGCCCGAAACCGGGAAAAAGCTCGGCAGAGCCTCACATTTTCCCGTTTCTAAGCCTCATCCTTATATCGTTGATATGTCAAGTAAATGCACCATTATTGTCTATTTATATTGCTTATATGGCCATCGGAGGTATTCGGAGGTCAACTCGATAGTTAATTAGATGGCGTCTAGACTAAAATACACACGAAACGAAGCTACATATTATCGAGCCCATGCCCGGTAAATTGATTATTTTTGACCTGTAGTTTCTAACGTCTACGTCATTTGGTCAGAATATGGGGACGTTAAATCCGATGCCTAGTGTAAAGAGAATTCCACGCTCTCTGCACGTTAAGAAACTTGCAACAACTCTTTGAGGGGTTCGTATGTGGTCTACTGAAAGGCAACATTTGTGTTCCTATCCAATAAACCCTCATTTTCCAATGCATGGCGTTTCCAAATTTCCAGACCTTCGTCCTGGACGACCCCTATTACAGGACCTAGCTACCTGTTGTATTTATTGTAAATTTGTTTTTGTCCTGAACATGCATGAACTATTTGCCACTGGACGTTTAGCAATCAATCAATCAATCAACTAGCTTTCAGTATCTTCGAGTACTCTCAGATCTACCTACGTGTAATGACCATATTTATTCAAATTCCCAAGCAGGTAGGGATTTTACAGTACAGGATATAAGGAAATATGTATCTCTTGAATTTTGTTCGATAGTATGAACAGAACAGAACTTCTGCATGAGGCATCGACTGTGTGTGTATGTGTTTGTGTAGCCAGGTGACGGTGATGGTTTCTTTTTAAATGTAGGATCATCAATATGTACTATCAATTGACGTAAATATCAATTATCTTCAATCAGAAAGGAATAGATATGAAAATACTAAACAGGTTGTGTTGCTTAATAAAGGACTACGCTGATCCACGCTGGGCAATGCGTATTGTAAATATTTTTGATATATATTTCCGATTGTACTGCCGGTTTAAATTCATCAGTCAGATGTAATTGTAAAATTATGTATATTATAATATTATCATTTCTTCGAAAAAATGTTCATGTATATTATCATGATAAAATGACTAGTTTTCATGTTATTTTGTACACAAAATTTTGCAACTAAAATGCTGAAACCGTTTTCCGTCCGGGGGTGGGGGCTTTGCCCTGGACCTGCTGGGGGCCTTGAGCGGCCCCAGACCCCCTGCCGCAATTTGTGCCTACAGTGTATTGGATACCTAGTTACGCCCCTGGACGTGAATGCGTAATTATACATCCTGCACAGCCAAACGGACGACCAACTTTGGCAAGGCTTTTATTATAGATCGGATGAAGACCAAGTGGAAAGCTAGTTGTAAGCCAACAGCAACTAATTAAAAAAAATCATGTATCTAAGTTGAGGTTCATTCAAGTATTTGTTGATAGAAGTGAAATGATCTGAACCAAAGTTCTAGTTTATAATTTCTATATAAGGGGGAATATAATGACCTACAATTCTATCCAATACTCTATTCACTAAGGATGATAGACAAGTGTACACATGACATTCGATAATTAAAGAGTTTTGACGACTTCACTGGCGTGCATCTACAGATAACGTTGTTTATCATTTTTTTTAATAAAAAAAAAATTTGTGAACAAATTATGTGTAGGCACGTGCCTAAAAGAGGGACAGTCAACATTTTTTGAAAATGACCCATATACCAACACGAAGACATAAAGTGCGTAACGACAGCTACGCCCCTGTAATATCATCAGTCATATCAAGGTTATTTATTCGTATACTCCACCCTATATTATTCTGTGAATGTTAGACGGAATTTGATTGGATAATGAAGTGATGTTGACACAGATAATCCATTATTCAGGGAAAGGAATGACAGGTTTTCTGTTGCAGTTAGCTGCTAGAACAAACAGTTACGCGTACCTCCAGGGTACGTGAACAAACAGTTACACGTACCTCCATGGTGCGTGAAAAAACTGTTACGCGCAACTCTAGGAACGTGAACAAACTGTTACATGTACCTCTAGGGTACGTGCACAAAGTGTTACGTGTACCTCTAGGGTACGTGAACAAAGTGTTACGTGTACCTCTAGTATACGTGAACGACCTGTTGCGCGTTGTTACGCGTACCTCTAGCGTACGTGTAAAAAAATGAATTATGACCCGAACGGCCCTTCGTATTGTACAATAGCATGTTATCGTTTGATTAATCATTTTATAATTACTGAGTCTGATGGAGTTTAGGCATCTATCAATCAATCAATCATTTATCGACCATTTATATTTGATACCATTATTAGTTCTTTTCCGTCACAGGGACAACATCAAAGTAGAAAAGATATAATGATGAGCTCTGTAAGGAATCAGTTCGATGTGCATAGGATAAATTGCAACTGCGCGGTGGCCCGTGAGTACATTGTCCAACTCGTCGCTTTCATTGAAAAATAGTGTACAAATACAGGAACATATGGCATTTAATCCTAAATTATTCCATTGAAAATATTTTAGAGAGATTTATCTCCAACTTAGCAAGTATTTTTAAACATATTAACATTGATTTTAGATATATCTTGAAAGGCAGATTTTTTCAAATTCCTTATTCTTTTCAAGATATTTAACAACAAAATTTGTACAAAGAAGAATTTAAAAGGTGTAAATAAAAAGAGGCACCCACTAATATTTGTCTTCGTGTTGGTATCATGGGTCATTTTCAAAAAATGTTGAATTTTCAGTACACCTATGCTAAAAAAAATTATCTTTAAAGGAAATTGCAGTTGTATAAGTGTTTAAATGAAAGTTTGTGGGATTTATGATAAGGAACATCAATAATAATCACGATTTAGATCTATTTTGATAAAATTAAAATATATTTAAATCAGATTTTTGCGTAATTTATGTGCGTACAGTGTTGGGTAACACATTTCAAATGATTTTTTTTCCTATTTTCTGATTGCCTTGCTATCTGCAAAAGGAATTATTTTAGAATGTTGATAATAACTGTTACGAAAAATCACAGCTTTTTTTATTATTCTATGTAACATGTTTTCTGCAATTTAAATTCAATCGTCGTACATGAAGTACATGTCTATCCTGTTACCGCTACTAAATCAGCCGTTAAATTGTTTGCCCCCTATAAATATGGAACTATTCAGTGATGATTTCAAAAGCACAAAGCATCCTAAAAATTGAACACAGCATGTTTCTTGCATAACAGTGTAGAGAAAAGAAAATTCAAGACATTTAGTGAAAAAAATAGTGGGTACCCTTTTGTCATGTCTATGCTGTTACCAGCATATTTAATAATTACATCAATATTATACTTGTAAAAAGTGCAATTACGTGTTGGAAACTAAAATCACAACATAAAAACGTTGTCACTTTATCAAAGGGAGTAGTTATTTCACAAAAGCATTCATAAATGAAGAAATTTGTCTATCTTGTTACTATGGTTACTATGGTTACAGTAACAGGATCGACAATTCTTGACAGAAACGTCTTTAAAAGTTTATAATTACATATAGTTTTACACATAATGGAATGTTTGGTTGTTTGCACTCATTTAAAGGTTACAACGTCTTAGCCTTCGTAATTCAGCATATAAAAAAGCAATAAAACTAGCGGTATAAACAGGATAGACAAAAAGGGTAACAGGACAGAACTTTTAAAATATGGCGCTATATCGTTAACGTACGTTCCTGTTACCGACAAACGAAAGACAAAAGTATACCAACATGCGAGTGAATTACTTGATGTTGGGCTTGTTAGAAATTAAGAGAAAACAAATGCTGAACATTATGAATTACTATCTTAGACTTGCGTTGCTGGTGATTATTTTTATAACCTTTGAAAACCAAATTTTAGCAGTATTTTTCAGTACAACATGGAAAATTAACAAATAATCTATCAATACACAGAATGAAATATATAGAAGTTTTCAATCTTGAAAACCGTCTTATTGGCTATGAAAAAACAAGCTTAAAATTTTATCGAAACCTTTTCTAAATAACCCAAAGTTTCTTTTCAACATGGTACTTAGTAACAGGAGAGACAAAATTTTGCACCACCTATCAAAAAATGCTTCAATATATTCTTGTATGACAATATCAAGATTGCATCTTTTTATATGTTGTTCCATAAGTACTGTTGGTTTTGATTTGATTATGAAGAGGGTTATTTGTAAAAAGTAACTTTGATTCAATTTTGCAATTTAAAAATTCGACATTTTTTAAAAATAATTCATATATTGTCAGCTGAAGAGATTTGTGTTATTATTGATTAGAATATGTGAATTTGTGCCACTTGCTGAAGGATGAAAAACACTTCCTCCTTGAATGTAAAATTTACAAAAATCTAAGGGATAATCTATTTGAAAATTGTTTACATTCTCATAATTTTATGTATCTTACCCAAGAGCCAAAAGTTAAAGAAATGCTAAACCCCTCTATCATGGAACATGTTGAAAATATTGGCAGCTTTATAAAACGCATTTGAACTGAGGTCAGAAGTCGTATAATCGTTTACCATGTGTTCATTTATTATAGAATTGTTATTTCTTTGCTATATTATGTTTTGTTTATGTTTTTGTCACAAACTAGATATGTTTATATGACAATAAAGGTATCATTATTGATTACTCATCATGTATTTCTTGTTATTTTTTAGGATCTGCTAGGATGAAGAAAGTTTTATTACTTATGTTGACGTTTGGAGTCTGCATATTTGTTTACAGTTTCTTAATTGACTGGAATACCATGTACGGCGTTATCAAAGACAAACTTCCAAAGATCAATCAATTTGGGCAGTACAGACATCACACAACAACGGATAATAACACCAGTCCTGAGTCATTCCGGACAAATGACCAGAGTCTTACAACAGGGAAAATAATTGTTTCGACAAAATTACTGAATAAACTATATTTAGAAAAATCCCTAATGCCTGGCAACTTAACAAATAGCATAGTAACTACTACTCATTTCCCTGTAAAGGAGAATTTGGCGAAGAATTACATAACTATAGCATTTCAAGGTCGTCTAGGAAATTTACTGTTTGAATATGCTTCACTTTATGGAATTGCCAAACACCATAACATGATACCAGTTATTGACGAAAGATGCCATTTAAAGAAAGTTCTAAAGATATCTGCTATTTCCTGTCAACAATTAGCAAATGTTAAACGATACAATGAAGTAAAGGGTTGTACATTTGAGAATAATGCATTTAATCTGGACAGGCAATACAACTGGACTCTCAATGGATACTTTCAAAGTTGGAAATACTTTGTTGAAAATAGTGAACAGATAAGAAAAGAATTACAATTTAAAGACAGTATACAGCATGTGGCTTCTAATCAGTTTCATGAAATTCTAAATTTAAAAGGTATATCAAACACATGTACTTATATTGCTGTACATGTGCGTCGCGGTGATATGGTGCACTCTTCTGTTATGACGAAATATGGATACACATCAGCAGACAAACGTTATATTGATGATGCAATGGCAAGTTTTCAGTTAAACTATTCAAATCCCTTCTTTATTTTTTCCTCGGATGACATATCATGGTGCAAGACTCATTTTACCAAAGAGAACACTGCATTCATTCTTCAGAAGAATTCCCCGGAAGTTGATATGGCAATAATGACAAACTGTAATCATTCTATTATTACAACTGGAAGTTATGGCTGGTGGGTAGCATGGTTGATAGGCGGTAAAACAATTTATTATAAAAAGTATCCAGTCAAAGGATCTGAACTTGACAAAGTATTTAATTCTGAAACATATAGACCTCCGTCATGGATTGCCCTCTAGCTATGACAAGCTGTTTGAATCTGAAACATACAGACCTCCGTCATGCATTGTCCTCTAGTTATAACAAACTATTTAATTCTGAAACACATATAGAACTGCGTCATTGAGTGCCCTCTAGCTATAACACACTATTAATTTCTGAAATATATAGACCTCCGTCATGGTTATCCTCCAGCTGTGACAATTTTTTATGCCCCCGCCGTAGCGGAGGAGGCATAAAGTTTTACCCTTGTCCGTCCGTACGTCCCAAATTTGGTTTCCGTTCGTTAACTTTAGTTTGCCTCAACCAAATGTTATGAAACTTATACACACTGCTTATTACCATAAGATACAGATCAAGTTTCAAATTGGGTGGCGTCACTTTTACAGTTCTTGAGTTATGCCCCTTTCTAAACATAAAAATTGCTGAATTTTCGTTTCCGCTCTCTAACTTTAGTTTGCCTCAACCAAATGTTATGAAATTTATACACAATGCTTATTACCATAAAATACAGATCAAGTTTCAAATTGGGTGGCGTCACTTTTACCGTTCTTGAGTCATGCCCCTTTCTAAACATAACAATTGCTGAATTTTTCGTTTCCATTCTCTAACTTTAGTTTGCCTCAACCAAATGTTATGAAACTTATACACACTGCTTATTACCACACCACAAAATACAGATCAAGTTCGAAATTGGGTGGCGTCAATTTTACCGTTCTTGAGTTATGTCCCTTTCTAAACATAAAAATTGCTGATTTTTTTCGTTTCCGTTCTATAACTTTTAATTATAAATTAGTTTGCCTCAACAAAATGTTATGAAAATTATACACAATGATTATAACCATAAAATACAAATCAAGTTTGAATTTTGTGGTATCACTTTTACCGTTCTTGAGTTATGCCTATTTACAAATGGAAAATTTGCTGAATTTTTCGTTTCTGTTCTCGAACTTAAGTTAGCCACAACCAAATCTTATGAGACTTATACACAATACTTATTACCACAAAACTCAGATCAAGTACAATTTTTTTAATTCTGAAACATACAGAGCTCCGTCATGGATTGCTCTCTAGCTATGACAAACTATTTAATTCTGAAACATACAGACCTCCGTCATGGATTGTCCTCTAGCTATGACAAACTATTTAATCCTGAAACATACAGACCTCCGTCATGGATTGTCCTATAGCTATGACAAACTATTTAATTCTGAAACATATAGGCCTCTGTCATGGATTGACCTCTAGCTATGACAAACTATTTAATTCTGAAACATATATAGGCCTCTGTCATGGATTGACCTCTAGCTATGACAAACTATTTAATTTTAAAACATACAGAGCTCCGTCATGGGTTGCCCTCTAGCTATGACAATCTATTTAATTCTGAAACATATAGGCCTCCGTCATGGATTGCCCTCTAGCTATGACAAACTATTTAATTCTGAAACATATAGACTTTCGTCGTGGATTTCTATGAAGCTGTTATATCTTATATACTGAAATGTTAAAGGAATGTTATTAGACACTTATATAATTAAGGATCGAATCGAGCAGGAAAAGGTTGCAAGCTGTCTGACAAATTGTAATTTGTTGCTGTTTTATTCGCTGACCTTTTTTCCTGTCTATTTTGCTTTTATATAATATAGTACTGTATAGATTTAAGATAAATCCCCGCATTCACAATTTCTTTTGAAAGAGTATTGACTACAATGAAGTAAATCGTGCGTTAAAACATGGAAAGTAAAATTTGTATAATTAATTATATATAGTTGTGAGAGTGTCGATAATGTATCCAGGAGTCAGATCAATGGACTAGATCAAAGCGTTTACTACCGACTGTTTATATTTATTACAAAATTAAACATTTGTACAAAATTTACTGTTTCATATGATGACTTGAGGTCTATTCCTATCTGCATAAAATATGCAGCATTCATTGTTAACATATTAAATTTACTTATGATGTTGCTCTTTAATCATTCATCACAAGAATACCATGCCAAGATAAGAAGATGTTGTATGATTGCCAATGAGACAACTCTCCACCAGACACCAAAATACGTAGAAGTTAGCACCAATAGATCACCGTACGGTATTCAACAATGCGCAAAACCCACACCGCCTAGTAAGCTATAGAAAATCCCCGAAATCACAAATTTAAAAACAATTCGAATAAGAAAACTATTGACTTGATTTATGTACAAAAATATAAACGAAATACTGCAACAAAGGACATGCTACTGAATGACCGACTCCTTACTTGGGACAGGCATGATCAGAATGTGGCGGGTTTAAATATCATTTAAAAATCATGTCACATTTGGTATTTACAAATGCAGAAATGATTAAACAAAAATATTTTACTTTGTCAGAAGGCAATTGTCATTTTATTAAAATACTGTTATCCTGTCTCGCTATGTACCATCTTATGTTTATAATCATATTGTCCTCTGATACACCTGTTTAAATAAAGTTTTAATATCATGTTTAAATGCGTTATAACAGACCGTGGCAGATTATATCTTTTTATACCGTTAATATTTTGTCATTTAAAAACAATAAAACTATACATTTGTATTAATAGTCCGCTATAGTGGATGTCATCATTGTGTATAAGTAAGTAGATAATAACAACAGAAATTCCTTTATCTTTTTTTTTTTTTCTCATTTTCGTTTTTTATTCACTGAAATACAAGCAGCTTAATTCAAGTCATGAACCACTAGCCTCGTTAGTCTTGTGTGTTGTTTTTTTTTTGGCTCATTTGTATGTTTCGGAGCTTAGTGTGGCGTTCATTTCACTGAACTAATATACATTATTGTTTAGGGGCATGCTGAAGTCCGCCTCCGGGTGCGGATTTTTTTTTCGCTGCGTTGAAAACCGATTGGTGGCCTTGGGCAGTTTTCTGGTCTTTGGTAGATTTGTTGTCTCTTTGACACATTCCCCGTTTCCATTGTCTATTCTGTAGTATTAAGTAAAGAACCAAATGACTCAAACGAGTTAAAAATTATTTTCAAAATCAGATCATCAATCGAAGTGCACTGAAATTCTCTAAATAAGTTTAGTAAACAATGGTAGCTAATTTGTTTTTGTTAAACTTTGAAACAGTGTCGTTACACCTAGACAATGTACTTTAATACTAGTAAGTGTTGACCAAGACACTGTGCCTTAACATTTTGCCGGTGTTGCCTTAACACTTGTTGGTGTTGACCTAGATATTGTACCTTATCGCTTGTCAGTGTTGACCTAGATACGGTACCTTAAAACTTTCAAGTGTTGATCTAAATAATGTGCCTTAACACTTGTTGGTGTTGACCTAAATAATGTGCCTTAACATATGTCGGTGTAGGCTTAACACTTGCAAGTGTTGACCTAGATGCTGTTCATGACCGCTTGTCATTGTTGACCTAGATATTGTACCTTAACACTTGTCAGTGTTGATCTTTCCACTTGTCGATGCTGACCTAGACAACTTGACTTAACATTTGTCGGTGCTGACCTCGACAACTAGCCTGCACATTTGTTAGTGCTGACCTAGACATTTGTCGGTTGTGACACTGTTCTGCAACACTTAGACAATTTGTCTAACCAATTTATCTGTTCTTGCATTGACGATTTATTCAAAATATTGCAATCTTGACTACGTGGATTATAAATTTAAGGGCAAACTCTGAGCACTACAGATCTTTGAAGCAAATTTTGGCCGAAGAGCTTTACCATGTATACAAATAAAATCGAATTTGAATCTAATTTCACTCAATTTTCCACGTATCGTAGGTGTTATTATAGTTTAAACATATTTTATTGTTCAAAATGACAAATGGATCAGAGGTAAGTTTTACAACTTAGTAACGTCTTCTCCAGGTGTTATATCAGCTTTAACCACGATCCTTTTTGAAAATAATGTTACCCTTTAAAAGCGGTATAAAGGTAGTTTTAATCGAATACGTTATTGCAGGTTTATTTTGCTCGGGGCAATTACCCTTATTGAATTTAATTGATATTTTGGCTGTAGAATCTAATTTTCATAATAATTGCACATCTGTAGATTTTAAACTAGCCATCATGCGTCAAAAAGACCATATCGCACATCAGCGAACGAACCATCGCACTTCGGCGTATACCATAGCACTTTAGCGTGACCATCTTACTTCAGCGTCCCCACCGCACCTCCGAGTATAAATGTCATTCTGTTATTTGTGTTGGTTTGCTGTCTCATTGATATATACCCCACACATCCGTTTATTCATATTAATTCTATATTATATTTGCAGGATTGGAAATAAAGATGAACATATGTCTCCATAATGTTTGTACGAGTTATTGTACGCATAGTTCGGTTTATATACAAAATCTTGTGGATAGTATTGCTGTTAATTGCTTTGCTTAATTTTGGTATTGTAATCAAACATTTGTACAAACCACAGCAGACAGAAACAACAATGGAAGGCAGTACCTGGTTTCTTGTCCTATGTACAACCTTAGTGCCTTCCGAAAGGCGAAATATCGTGCATAATAACACCATGCATAACTGGAGAACACTAGGTTCCGATATATTACCCGTGCTTTTTCTAAGTGACGAATTCAAAAATGTAAGAGAAACTTTTATAAGAAACGGATGGAAAGTTTTCGCGATTGAGCATTCTTCTTCAGACGGAACGCCTATTTTACGTCATTTCTTTTCAGTCATACATCGGAAATACCAATCCAAGTACATTGGTTATGCAAATGCTGATATTCTCTTTACATCTGACTTGAGAAGCTCTCTAAATTTAATTGACAAGCAAAGACAAGCTATTCCAAATGAAAACGTTATATTCATATCAGGATGCCGCTTTGACATTGAAAATATTACCTCAAAAGATATTTCCTCGTATGATAAAATACTACAGATAAAAGAAGACTCTAAAAAACACCCGCCCTCAGGACAAGACTATTTTATAACAGATTTCAATTATCCCTGGGGAGGGATACCGGATGTTGTTGTGGGAAAACACAAAATTGACAACTGGCTTTTGATAAATGCTATTGAAAATAGTCACACTGCCATAGATGCCTCAGTTGGAATTACGGCAGTTCACCAAACTGTTGACTTGGGTTCATGGGAAAGTGGTAAAATGAATTCTAATTCGAGTGATCATTTATACAACGAAAACCTTTTGCAGTCAGCATTCGGTCCCATCTATTTCGCGAGTGGAAATCTCAATTGCTTGCCACTTTATATGACACATACTTACGGGAAAAAAGAAATTGTGCTTATAGAAAGAACTCTATATCCTGAATACTGTATGCGACAGCAGGTATTCAGAGATTTTATTGAGAAGGAAAGAAAAAATGCAGAAAAACAACGTAAAGAACGTGAAAGACGGGAACAAAGCATGTTTACAATGTCTAAAATTAAAACTACTAGATCGTCAGTTCCCATTAAACACATTTATATCAAACCAAAGAACAATGAAGAAAACAATGAACCAGTCGAACAACGATTACTTACACCCAATCCTAATTATAAGTGTCGTCTCTGTTTTCTAGAATTAACGCAATTACGAGATATCATACAAAATGTATGTAAACAGAACTAACTTGTTCCAGCGTAGAAGAAACTGAAGATGTGAAAAAGATTATAAAGAAAATTAAAAACCAATTGTTCAGAGAACAATTGAAGGTCTTTCCACCAGTAAGGATCTATTTTGATATGAAAATATTAAAATTTTCTTTTTAAATGTCAATTTCCGCGTCAAATGACAGCTTATTGTACGCTGATTCCAAAAATATATATTTTTTATACAAAAAGATATAAATAAGGGAGATAATTTTTTACTTCCGGTTTAAAAGATGTTACTTCCGGTATTATTTGATAGTTTACTTGACACTGATTCCAAAAATATATGGTTCTATATACTTTTACATTAACTTAGTACAAAAAATAGCTACTTCCGGTTTACAAAAGGTCACTTCCGGTTGACTTTTTCAATGTCACATTGCTTGCAACTTAATGCAAAAAGTCCCTTGGCTTTATCATGTATACATATGAGGTAAAAGCGAAGGTCAAAATCTAGAACGTTAAATTTACCTATGACCTTGAGCTCAAGTTCAAGGTCATAAACCAAGGACCACAAATCAAAAGACTCTAGGCCTCTACTTTATATTGTTAATGAGTTCTATTACCATACGACTAACATTAGATATAAAAGGGGGAAAACTCGCATCAAATGTCTACGTACCCTTTCAACTAAAATTTACGTGTTACGACATGTCGCAACTAACAATTTTGTGAAAATATTTTGTCGATATCTTATATGATTTCTAAAAATAAGAGATAACAAGCCAAAATCAAAAAAATTTGAACATGACCTTGACCTTTGACCTTGACCTCATTTTCATTTTTTTGGACCAAGGACCTCATATCAAAAGACCCTAGGCCTCTATCACTTATGGTTTTCCAGTTAAAAATACATTTCACTTATATCAAATACAAAAGGGGAAATAACTCTCATATGGAATCTCTATACGGCTTCGGTCAAAATAAAACCTAACATCCTGAGGATATAACGAGCAATTTGGAAAAATAAATTTGTCGTTTTCTTTTACGGTTGTGGAGGAGATCTCATAACAAGAAAAACAGTGTTTGGGGAGATAACTCTTACAAAGAAAAGTGTTCGGTTAAACAGGGTCAGTTTCAAAAGCGTATAAACTGTATGATATCATATACCAAAAAACTAAGCGACATCTTTTGAAACAAAAATACACCGCAAGAAAAAAATTAGGCGGAAGAACAAAAAAATAATCAGAAGAAAACCAATAGGTCTTTCCACGGAAAGGTGGAAAGACCTAATTATTTCATGGGGCTTCAATTCAAATTAATCTACCACATGTTGGCCATTTATGCCACACATTTTAAGGAGGTTCCTAATACAGTTTTCTTCGTCTTTTACGTCAATTTATAATAGTGTGTTCAAATATTTGTCTTGACCAAGAGCGCTTCGATCCAAAAGAATTTCCATCTTAAAAAAAGTTTGTACTATTTGAATAGAAATAGTTCAAAGGGTTAAAAACGTATATAGATTTTTACTTGACCTTTATGGTGATAGTTAATACTACCAATATAAAGGGTCAATCCATAGTAAAATCTACATAAATGCATACTAAATAAGAACCACTAAAAATAAAGCATAGTTAAAACAGACCATATCATCAACCAACACCCAACTCATCAAGAATCACAAAAAATACAGCACAGTACAACAAACCATACCAACAACCAACACTCGACACATCAAGAATCACAAAAAATACAGCACAGTATAACAAACCATACCAACAACCAACACTCGACTCATCAAATATCACTAAAAATACAGCACAGTATAACAAACCATACCAACAACCAACACTCAACTCATCAAATAACACTAAAAATACAGCACAGTATAACAAACCATATCATCCACCAATAATCGACTCATCAAGAATCACAAAAAATACAGCACAGTACAACAAACCATATCAATCACCAATACTCTTATCAAGAAGAATCACCAAAAATGCAGCACAGTATAACGAACCATATCAATCATCAACACTCGAATCATCAAGAATCACAAAACATATAACACAGTATAACAAACCATATCAATCACCAACACTCGAATCCTCAAGAACCAAAAAAAAATACAGCACAGTATAACAAACCATATCAATCACTAACACTCGAATCATCAAGAATCGCAAACAAATCAGCACAGTATAACAAACCATATCAATCACCAATACTCTACTCAAGACGAATCACCAAAAATGCAGCACAGCACAACAAACCATATTATCCACCAATACTCGACTCATCAAATATCACTAAAAATACAGCACAGTATAACAACCAATATCAATCACCAATACTCTACTCAAGAAGAATCACCAAAAATGCAGCACAGTACAACAAACCATATCATCCACCAACACTCGAATCATCAAGAATCACAAAAAATACAGCACAGTACAACAAACCATATCATCCACCAATACTCGACTCATTAAATATCACTAAAAATACAGCACAGTATAACAGACCATATCATCCACCAACACTCGACTCAAGAAGAGTCACTTAAAAAAACAGCACAGTACAACAGACCATATCATCTACCAACACTCGACTCATCAAGAATCACAAAAAATACAGCACAGTACAACAGACCATATCAATCACCAACACTCGACTCAAGAAGAATCACAAAAAATACAGCACAGTATAACAGATCATACCAATCACCAACCCTCGACTCAAGAAGAGTCACAAAAAATACAGCACAGTACAACAAACCATATCATCCACCAACACTCGACTCAAGAAGAATCACAAAAAATACAGCACAGTATAACAGACCATACCAATCAACAACCCTCGACTCGAGAAAAATCAATAAAAATACAGCACAGTACAACAGACCATATCAACCACAACACCTGACTCATCGAAGGTTACTAAAAATACAGCACAGTTCGTACAACAAACTATATATACAACAACACCTGACTTCTAAAAACAGACATTTAAAGACACAACAATGGACAACACATGAACACACATGGGCAAAATAGCACGATATGGTACAGGCAAAAAATGTGGTGGGGTTAAACCAGTTGTATGTGCCCACATGTATAGTGTTTTCTGCAATGTTATCCTAAGAAATTTCTTAGAATCATTGACACACAAACTACTCCACAAAAGTTATTTTACATTGCATGTTTTCTCATTTGCTACTACGTGTATGCAAAGTGAATTGCTAAACCATAAAGCATTTTTTATTATGTATTGAATTAAGCTGGATTTTTTTTTTATTAAAGGACAACTTTTCAAATGTTGAAAATGTATCTTGGAAAGATTGAATGAGATGATTACAATTAAAATAAAAAAAATTGGCAAAAATATTCAGTGATGCCAAAGTAAGATATAACTGTTTTTGTACAAAAATATATAAGAAATATAACAAGAGTGCACACCCTAAAGTGTCTACTCATCATTGATAATCATGATTAATGATTTTATGCTGATAGTCCTAAATATTAATCACATAATCTTAACATTAACAATGATCCATGAAATTGAGGTCAAGGTCAAATAATCCAAGACAGACAGATGTGTACACCTTACAATCAAATGCAGTTCAGGTTGACCTATTTATTACAGTATAAAAGAAACAAACCAAACCATGATGAAAACTTTTAAATAATAACCAATGAACCATGAAAATGAGGACAAGGTCAGTTGAACCTTGCCAGACAGACATGTACACCTTGCAATCATTCCATACACCAAACATAGTTAACCTATTTCTTATAGTATACAAGAAACAGACCAAACCATGAAAACTCAATATTTACCAATGAACCATGAAAATGAGGTCAAGGTCAGATGAACCCTGCCAGAAAGACATGTACACCTTGCAATAATTCCATACATCAACTATAGTTAACCTTTTGTTTATAGTATACAAGAAACAGACCAAACCATGAAAATGAGGTTAATGTCATAAGAACCCTGCCAGACAGAAATGTACACCTTGCAAATAATTCCATACACCAAATGAAGTTAATCTATTGCTAATAGTATATCAGAAGAGGACATAACTACTGAAACGTAACACTGACCAGTGAACCATGAAAATGAAGTAAAGGACAGATGATACCTGCCAGACAGACATTTACACCTTACAATCATTCCATACACCAAATATAGTTTACATATTGTTTATAGTATTAGAAAAATATACCCGAATAAAAAAAACTTAACACTGACCAATGAACTGTGAAATTGAGGTTAAGGTCAGATGAAACCTAATTCCATACACCAAATATGGATTACCTATTGCATACAGTATCTGAAAAACAATCCTAATCGCACCTTGATCACTGATCCATGAAATTAGATCAATGTCAGGTGAACTCTGTCTGACAGACATGTAGACCTTGCAAGGAACCCATATACCAAATATAGTTATCCTGTTATTCATAATAAGTGAGACAACCAGTATTTTTTTCCAAGCAGTCACTAAACAATAAAAATGAGGCCAAGGACAACTGACATATGACAGACGGGATCTTCATAACATAAGGCATCTGTATTCAAAGTATGAAGCCTCAAGGTCTTATACCCTCTGAAATATAAAGCTTACTCGGTAATACAAATTGTTTATGCGTCCGCAGGATTGTAATCCCTGTCTCACATTCTGTGTCTTTCAGTGAAGGCGAGACAGAAAGTTATTTTTTTTTTAGTGTATCTGAAGCACTTACTGGTAACTTATAAAATTAAAGAACTTTAGTGAGCGCGCTCACATACCCCACGTCCCCACGTTGTCATTGGAGAAATAAAATAAGTGTAAGAAAAAAAATTGAATCATAATTTCCTGTCAATATGCACATCTGCATAGTATAATCCTTATTATCTACTAAGTTTCATGAAATTCTGTTGTGTGGTTTCAGAGGAATTGCGATGACAAACTGTAACAGAAGTACATTAAAGCAAATAAGTTCAAAGGGGCTTAACTCCTAGAAAAAAAATTGAATCATAATTTCCTGTCAATATGCACATCTACATAGTATGTCCTTATTATCTACAAAGTTTCATGAAATTCTGTTGTGTGGTTTCAGAGGAGTTGCGATGACAATCTGTTGCAGAAGTACATTGAAGCAAATAAGTTCAAAGGGGCGTAACTCCTAGAAA